AAGAGTCGCTCGAGGCGATAGCCGAGAGCGACTCTAGCTTCTTGAGTGCTTAGCAAACCTCCCAAGTGCATCCATAACTCAATAGTGTACGCTGTGGTGTTTACCTTTTGTTAATTATACTTGGGGATAAGGCTTTAAATTACGTTTATGCAACCTGCTGCCTCGGGGTAGTTATTGACTCCAAGTTATCTCGGACCTATCTTGGCAGCCGCATATTGATTCAGTTTGCAAGAGATATAGTCAAAAAGTCAACTACTTAAAACGCCTGAGGATTTTACCGAAGAAAGTTTTGGAAAAAAGTTATTTTAGAAGTGTTGTCCCTAATGTTACCTATGACATGTTAATCTGGGGTACATGTTTCCACTTGTTACTTAACCTTGAGTTGGTACATTTAAGGGCAGCAAAAGTAATCCCGGCATGGTCTCACAGACAGTTTTGATTATGCGCTAAAACAAATTAATTGGCAGCCATTAATTAATGTATATAAGTGTAAACTAGCCTCACTTATGCACTCAGTTTTATATAACCAAGCTCCCAAATCCATTTGCCTTGTGAGCTGTTTCATAAAGACAAGCAGAGTTATCATAACTTAAGAAGAGCAGAAAAACTCATTACACCACATTATAATTATTCAATAGGTAGAAACTCTTTAAGATATAGAGGTGCCACTGTGTGGAATATGTTGCCAGAACCTTACAAAAAAGAAGCCAACTCTTCAAGCTTTAAGGTTAAGATTAAAAACGATTCGGAACTCTTAGAGAAAATGAGCTTTGGGAAGTAGTCTTGTTTAATAACTAATAAGCGATCTGATTTTTATTACTATTAAACCCCAAACAAGTTTTGAGAATTTTAATGTAACTTTAACATAGTTAGAGAATCTTAATGTAGTTATTTATATCTTAGTGATTGCTTAGTTGTATTAAGTATAGTTTAGGTAGGTCCACATCAGTCTTTGACAGCCTCCCTTCAACCTAAAAATCAAATAAAGTTGTATGTATATATGTATGTATGTATGTATGTATGTATGTATGTATGTATGTATGTATGTATGTATCACAGTTGACTCGAACGTACCGTTTGACTTTTTGACGGAGTGGTACTCGATTTTGCCTTTCCACTTCCTGTTATATCTTTTTACGACTGTACTTGATTCTTATGAGCCATTTTCTGGCTTTTGAAAAAGCAAATCTCGAGAAAAACATGACGAAGCACTTCACTTCGCGAACAGTAAATGATAGGGTTAACAAGAGAACCTAACAATACAAGAAAACCTGTAGATAAATTAGCCACAAAACTCGAAACATTTGGACTCGGTTTAAAGAAATTCAAAATTACAACAAAATTACAACAAATGGAGCTGAACTGTAAGTGATTAATAGGGAAGCCAAAATGATAAATACTGTTTTGGAAGCCCTTCGGTCTTTTTTTAATCGTTTGACCTCTTCTGCGGTACTTGTTCGATTTGAACTCAGTTGTTCTGACGTCGTGTTTCAAAAAATAGATAAATGTTAATGCATATCACAGTTAAGAAGCAAATTATGCAAAAAGAAGCCTCTATTCCTTGCTCAATCACACTCGAATGCCAACACAATTTCAAGAATTGCAAATATCACTGCAAAGTCCATGCCAAAAGTTCTCCCATCAACAAAGCTTCCTTCGTGACAAGAGTCTGGTACCTCAGGGGGTACAAAACAGCAATATAGCGATCTATGCTGATTAAAAACAAGTGGCTCAAAGAGCCGATAATTCCCAGTGCTATGGAGGTTACGAAGAGCTTTCTAATTGTGCAGAGTGGTCCTACACCGAGGAGTGGCGTCATGTTTATGGCTTTGTGCATCGGTCCAGTTACCAGCCTTCCAAACAAATCCGTACTCGCTAAACAGGCCAGAAGGATGTTCGCGTTGTTTTGCAGGCGAGGTCTGGTTGTCACGGTAAAAATGACCAAATAGTTTGATAGGATGGTAGGAAGGACTGCAGTAATGCTGATTGCTGTTACTGAAACTAGAAGGCTGAAAACGTGGCTGGTTTCAGTCAGATTATTTTTTCTCCAAGCTCCGCCGATCACATTAAAGCAATCTTCTTTTTCTGGGACGAAAAAAGTATCAAATGGAGGAGAGGTGTTCGACATTTTGCATATAAACACGGAATGGTTCATTTTGCGACAAAATTGGAATAGAATTGCGCAACTCTTCTTCTAATCATTCACTCTGAATGTTTTCGTTTGGACTAGCTGCTGTAGTCGTGGGAGTTCACCGGGTGCCTGTGCTTAATTAATGTTTAATTAAATCCCTGTTTTCGTTGTGATCCTTTCGTGCGTTGTTATTAAGTAGTCAATGACGAACGAGAAGCCTTAAATGAAATATCAAAGAATATCTCACGGACAAAAGCGAACGAAGCGGATTTAATTAAACAAAATTAAGCACAAGCACATTTCTCATTTCCGCCGATATGTTCTAAGCACCTTCTTAAAACGCGAGCATTTAAAATTCTTTGATATGAAAATAGTCTATTATTCCTTTGTAATTAAAATTAATCTTTTACAATAAAGCTTCAATGGGATGACAGGAAGAAATGCAAACAGTCTGATCACGGTTACAGCAACGAGAAGACTGTAGGAGGCATCTGGCAGATAACACTTCTGCCATACATGCACAAAAACGCATTCTAGGTTTTTGGCACAGCCGAAGGAGCTGTGTTCGATATTAAGTTGAAAAATACAGAGTGGTGAAAAATGCGGCAAGTAGGGATACAACTCTGCTGGTGGTGAAAACAGCGAGCCGTACTGAATATTTTGCATTCTCGAGGAAGCAATTGGGAAGGGTTATGTCACGTGTTACCTTTGTTTGTCTCATTTGTTCTGCAGTAAGCTTTCTACTTTCCCGACGGTAAGTCATCGTAATAACAGGAGACACTTGAAAAAAGGCTCCTGGGACCACTGACACTTCTCGATATCATTTGCTGAAGAAGAGTAATGATAATTTCCGTAAAGATTATACTAGCTAAAAGGTGATGCTAGTTCATTTAGAAACAATTAGTTACTTCCAGTTGAAGAATCCATTCTTAAGTGTTTTTTCATTTTTTCATTTATATTCTTATTATTTTTTTAGCGGTAGGCTTTACTGATATGGTTTCTTCTTTGTCTGAGATCTTATCTTCCTTTCTTTTATTCAGACTCTTTATCAATCATTATACGTTCGATGACGACAAAAAGAAAAATTAATAAGCATTGTGCGCATGGAAGGTGGATAGAGATGAAAAGATACCTTATTGCTGAGCCTGGTTTTGATCTTTGCAGACATTTCGCAAGAGAAACGCTCTTCCTTCAGTCAGTGCGTTCAGTATGCTATGCCATGTTGGTTACACATTAAGAGTTTGCCGAGGCCCTTGGGGAGATCTTTGCATTCCTCTTTGCTGTTGAGATCTGACCTACACGTAAAGTTTGGAGTGGTTTCCTTAAAAAAAAATATGCCGCGCATATGAATTTTTTTCTTCAAGAATTTAGAGTAACTAACAAGCTGGTCTGTGAAGTGAACCCGTTTCCAATCAGTCATAAACAAATACACCATAGAATGTTCTAATCAATATGCGAGAGAAACAAACGAGGAATCACCATATTTCAGTCTGATCAGGTCTTTATAATGTCAGAGAATGTAAAATTTGAATAAGATTTCAGCCAGCAGCCCAAGTTTTAGAAAACTAATATTCTTCCGTTATAAGTCATGAAATTGTCTTTTCTGACTTGATCTAAAGTCACTTTTCTTTTTCACCTTTGACTAGGTTCGAAGTAAGTAAAGACGAGAGGTTTCGTCATGTAGCTGAACTGTGTAAAAATATCTTTAAAATAAATGAGAACTAAACAGATTGGATTCAGCATGGAGCATCAATAACATATATCTCAGGTTTTTTTACATATTTCCTCTGAAGCCGTCTCGGTTGCGTGATGGTAGCGTGAAGTGTAACGAGTTCGCTCCTTTCATTATTTTGTGTTAATTTATGTTATTTCATGCTGTTTCATATTATTTCATGTTACTTCATGTTGTTTTATGCTATCAAAAGGTCCATATTATGCGTCTCCATTGAAGCAATCTCGTTTTTTTGTGGTTTGATTTTAATAGTATTTTCTTGGGGTACTATTTTTAGTCAAAGATTACATTCATGGTCTCCACAGCCGCATGGGGACAGAGGCAGACTTAAAGACTGAGAATAAAGTGTTTTTAAAAAATCGCATTCTTGTGGTTTTTCAATGGCCAACACGTCTCTTGAGCCTCTCCGACATATACAGAAAAAAGGCATTACTACGTCTCGGATGGGATCATTTTTTTCCAGACAGGATCAGTGTAGTTTTTTGGGATCAAAGATCAAGTTATCCGAAATTTTGGGATCATCGATAAGAAGATATGGATGAAAATTGGGATCATTATGCAACCTCCATACCTGTGACGTATGAAAAGGTTGCGATACAGGGTTTATCATTATACTTAAGGGTTCATTTTCATATCGGGAGTTTCGACATGTGATTTAAGGTCTTTTTACACCGCGGTTTTTGCTGCGCAGTGGGTTTCTTCAACGGGATGGTGGGTACATGGCGTTCAATTATATTCAGATGTTCATTAATATCTAATGAGCGTTATATTACTAGGTGGCTACATGCACATGAGGACAGAGGTGGCGGGCCAGGCCCTAGTTTATGAACTATTCAGTTATTCAACAATTATTTGCTGAGGGCGAAGTGGATATTGTTGACGTTTAATAATACTCGAAACGAAGTAGAGGGGATTATTCAACGATAATCAATAAGCTTTTAGCGACTGATTGTTAATTAAAATTTGTTCAACTCTGAATAGTGCATTTCTAGTGTTCAGCCAATAACATCACGGAAAAATTGACCAATCATTTTACACGAACTGGACTAGGAACATTCTACTAACAACAACTATTCACTTGACTCTGATGATGACTTCCGCACAGGTTGTCTAAAAGTCAGTCATCACCACCGACAACAGTCCTTTTCAAGACTACACTCGCCCGGACGATCACACTACACTTTCACATGCTATTCCGGGTTCAAACCATTTAATGCGATGTGATTTTAATTCAGATGTTGTAGCAAAAAATTTCTCTTATCATTCTGTTCAATAAAAGAGGGATCTTTCTACCACGATATTCTATGTTACATCAGGATTCCACTGTAAGCTCACATATCAAAAATAAATTCGTATTCCTTAAAAGACCTATCTCTAGAGATGTTTGTAGCCGATTACTTCTGTCATCTGCAAAAAGAAAATAATAATTGGTGTTTAGAACAAAGGATCCATTTATTTGTTACCGTCGTCCGGGGGGGTAGGAGAGGGTCAATTTATCGTCGGGGGAGGAGGGGGTTGGGGCATTTTAATGGGAATCACATGGTTTTCAAGATGAACAGAGGAGGATCAGTCTTTTCCAATAAAATTTAAAGTGGGGACTATATATAATTGAATTTCAATTATCAGCAAATGAGAATGGGCGGGGGGGTATCGTGACACGGTAAAAGTCCTCTGACCCCTCTCCCCTCAGGGAATAAGTAGTTACTGATCTCCAATGGGAACATTTTTAGAGACCTTATCAGCGTCAATTGACGTGCCTTGTAATACTGAGGATAGAGCTACAGGATATCACTTACCTACAAAACTTCATAAATGTAGTAGGTATGCGCCTTTCCAACAGCATGTTTATAGCATTGTGTTAGGACGGTCTTGAAATGGGAACTCGGCATTGTACCGACCCAACATTCACCATAGAATTTAACCCCAAACACCTTGTAATTTGTGCGTTCGACAACTTCACGGTAGCACTTTTCCACTACAGTTTCTATCGCGTTCCACTTGATGCCACCAGAACGAAAATTATGTTCCAGAAGTGGCAGGAGGCGCTTATGGGTATTTTCTCTGTAACAACCTAGTGGTCTGAATTTTTTTATTGGACGAGCTGAAAGAAAGAAAAAGCACATGAATACATTACGTCAGTTTAGTTGTCTTGTATCTTTTTCTCTAAGAGGGCGCACTCTCATTGGTTACTTTAGGGTGATATGACATCCACAGTGGCGGAGGATGGAGCAACCAGAAGAGAGAGGAAGGGAGCTGGTCCACCAGGAGGAGAAGGGAACGATGATAATGGTTATGACTAATTGGTAGGGCGAACAGCACCTTGAGCTTCAATCTGTTTCCGTGGCAGGGAAAAAAAGAGGTGTATATATTATATTATTACACGACTCGAGCAGTCAGAGGGCCAATAACTAAAATCAACCAATCAAAATGCTCTATTGCCGGTCCAATATTCTCTAAGTATTAGACCGGGCACTGTCTCGAATGGTCCCGAATGATACCGCACTTGTGTCCCTTTGAACTTCAGTCGTATAATAAATCTCTTATTAACCAAGCTTACTCGGGACCGTACTGGAAGAATATCGGCCCTCGGTCTTTTTTGTACGGACCGAGCGCAGCGAGGTCCGTACTGTCAAGACCTCGGGCCGATATTCTCCCAGTACGGCCCTCGCGCTTGGTTAATAAGATATATATATTGAATACTGAGGTCGGATCCTTGGAGTGAGAATGTTATCGGTAGTAGCGAGTGACGTCTCGATAGCTTTGGCAGAAGTGAAGGTCATAATCTGAGTTAACTGGGGAACTGTAGGCTAATTAGGAGCAAACTGTAAGAAAAGAGCGCCTTAACCATCAACCAAACAGATATGATCGCGGTCCTCTAGATCTGACCGAAGTCCTTTCAAAGCTCTAACGCATCAGTCGGTGGGACACTGCACTTCTTAGGCGAACGTAATATTTTTCTTCAAAAAAAGGCAAACAAACAAACAAAAAATAGGGGAAAACAAAGAAAATGAAGCAATCACAGTGAAGATGATCAACTACCGAGGTTAACACCGAATCGACTCTGAGGAAAAATTTGATGTTTTCGCTCTTCTCCCCAGCAATTCACCAACAAAACCCTACTGGCAGTTTGACGATTCAGTTTTAAAAATGATTTTCTAGTACTTGTTAAGTAGAAAATGATACTTGTTAGTTCTTGAAAGAAGAGGCAACCTGATTAACGTAGGATATAACGTATCCACCGGTCAACCGGAAGGAACTTAATTTGAATTTTAAGAGGGTTCACGGTACCCATGACGTAATGACATAGATAAAATACTCGCTATTTTCTCTAAATCAGATATAAATTAAGCTTTAACATTGTTAATTTTCTCAAGTGATCACTTTCATGCAGCAGCTTGGAGCGAATGGAGCGAACAGGGACATAGGTGGGGTGACTCACTTCCTCTCTCTCTAAACCTCTCTCAATAACATCTTTAACTAACAATCAACGTCTTCATCTTGCTGGCTTCTAGATCTTACCGGCGATGGAAATCATGTGCATGCGCTTTTATCGTCTTAAAAACGGTGAACATGGTGACTGTGTCGTGGGGTTTAGAAAGTTATTTTTTAGTTGAAATTGCACGGCGCATTTTGCGTCATGTAGAATTTCGCAGTGATTCCGCTGAACGGGTATGATCTAAAGTAGAAAGGGTCATTAGATGTTCTGATAGTAGGGTCGTGCTAATTGATTCATGAAATTTCACGGTTTTTAGAGGGTCTTTTAACTGAACACAAATAGTATTATTCAGATTAGGGTTTGTCTTTTTGAACGTGGTTTATTGATATCATATAACTCGGGCTTTATTTATGTGTTATAGGAAGGGAAATGGAAAAACATATTTTTTAACATTGAGTTTAGTTCTTTTTTAAGTTAGTTACTCGTTAGATAATTGTGGCAAATGTTGCATCTAGTTCTTCATTTCCAGCTTTAAATTGCTGCTGTGTCCTCGTCGCTATGCTTTTATGTTTATGGTATTGCTGTCAATTGAAAAATATCATCAAATATCTTTAGTATCTGTAATGTTCTTTATGGGATATCACTGGCTGACATTCACGTCCCCCATCTCTTAAAAAAAAATTCTATATGAACTGAAACGGTAATTTCATCTTAACATTTACCTTGTTCATTTGTGGCAAAACTAGAACAGTGATATCATACTTAGGAATAAAAATTGTCGGGAGCTGACATACGAGTAAAAAAATTAAAAGGAACTTGAAACGCACTTCCGGGATGTAGATTGAAAAAAAGAGTACCTTATTATGCGAATCCTCGTACAATTGAATTTCTCGTTAATGGTACATCCAGCGAAGAAGTTTATATATCAGTTAAAATACTCACTTGCACACGGCACATAGTGACTGAATATATTCTTCATTTGATATATCAAAACTTGAGGGTAGTTTAAATGTTATTTTCACGACTTAGAGTGAGATCTTTTTGGCTTTCAGTTGTATGCCAGGGACTGAAAATATCATTAAAAAATTCTTACATCCATAAGCTACAAGATAACATTGAGGAGTTGACTTTTATAGTGGTCTGGTGAGTGTGGCGTAGCAGAGGGCAAACAGAGCGCAAAAGTGCAAAATTGATTTTGATTTTTCTGTCCACGACCGGTGACGTCTAGTGATATGAAAATACGTTAAGTAGAAACATTTCCTCACCGATTATGACTTAATTTCCGACAAACATGCAGTCGGTTTTAATGCACCCTTACCAGTACAGGAAATATCTTCGTTGCACTTCTCTCGTACTGGCGGTTTGACGGAGTACCGGCAGAAGCTTTCTAACAATGGGTGGTAGTTACCATCACCGAGCGGCCTACCGCAACTCAACGTGCGTTTCATAACGCCTCCTATACAGGTCTTTGAACACTAAAAGANTAACTCAACACGATTTTAGCTTTAAACACTATTTGAACTTTGTAGAGCATCATAAAATAATTTTCGAGTGCCATGTTGTGCTAAGTGACCGTGGCTCATTTGAATCTGCTAATCAGCCAATAAGGTTTCGATTCTGCCGACAATGATTCCATCGCTGGTATTGGACCTGAATGGCTAGTTCGCAACCGTAAATAAGAAGCAGATTTGAATGCTTTTGAGATTTTTTTTTCTTTTGTAATAAATTTTACATAAAGACCTTACTTGCTCTAGGTCACTTCATATGCTTATGATCCACGGTGACTATTCTTGGTTTTAACATGAAAGATGCAAACGTTGTGTGTGATGACTGACGCCGGAAGATCACGCAAGATCTAACCGGCAGCCTTCTTTAAGAAGCAAGTTTCCCTTTTACCTTCCCCCACTCAGATGGAATCCATTCCGGTCCACACGGCGTCTTAAAACAAGGTTTACTCAGCGGTGTTGGTTTGGGCCCCTTACAGCTACTCCACCTCAACATCTTGTATCCTCCTGGGTTTTTATACTTCCTTCTGCAGGACAGTTCACGTTTTGTTACCCCGTGTCCGCAGGTTTTTGAACAAGCGCTCCATCCACTCACATGCCATCTGTTTTAATTGGTGGATGAAACAGGTTATTAGTGAGGAATAGACGGGGTTGAGCCAACTAAGGCTGGCTCACACCAAAAGTTGATCTAATCTGTTCTTGGCCATTCGAATACTTTTGTCGAGCACAAACAACCGCAAATCAATGATAAACTTCGGAGAAAATACATAAATAAGTATTGTGAGAAATAGATAACTTTTTTGAGAGACATGTTTTGGCATGCTTATGCCATCTTCCATCAATGAGTAACTGAACGTGAGTAGTTATACTCACGTTCAGTTACTCATTGATTGGAGATGGTATAAGCATGCCGAAAAAATGTCTCTCAAAAAAGTTGTCTATTTCTCACAATATTTATCATACTTGCTATTACTACGACCTTAGATAAATAAGTAGAAATTTAAAGACATTTTGTCTCAAGCAAGGGGAAGTAACTAGAGTCCCCTATGAAGAACTGAACCTTAGATCTTTGGATTCCGTTGTTCGATACACAACCACTGAGTAACAGAGAACCCTTTGTGTTGAGTCAGGCCATTGTCGGGTTTATATGCAACACTTATATGTAACATCTTGAATATAGGCTAAAAGTTTCTAAAGAAACTGTGGAGCTGCGTCGGTGGGGGTAACAAGGTAATTTGGTTATATCAACTCAGTTGAAATTGTAAATTGGCCACCGTAACGAATAAAAAAGCTAATTCTTTTTCGTTACGGTGGCCAATTTACAATTTTAACTGAGTTGATATAACCAAATTACTATGTAACACACTGCCGAGATCAGGAGTTTTATAAGCTTCATGTGATCTTGAGTAAGTTTGGACTCATACATGAACCGTTTTTACTCAAATTCTAAAGTAACTCTATAGTACTTCGTGTCTCAGTTGCTTTTTCTGGACTTGCTTTAGCTCGGGTCATGTGGAAACTGATGCTTCCAGTACAAAAAGTTGGAGCTTATTGTTTCACTTCTTACTCACTCTGGTGGACACTCCTGAGTGTTACATTCCATCTCATCCTTTGGCTTACTCAGTCCTCCCTTCTCGCAGACACTGTCGGCAACAGCCGACTCGTCATCCTTCCTCTTGCACTGAACACGTCGCGTTTTCTTTCCTAACAACAGAGGAAAGCGATCGCTGCGATTGGCTGGAAAACACTTTGTAAAGGGAGGTAATTAAACCTTTTCACAGAATAGCCTGCCTTCACTTAGAAAAAATAAAGAAAAAGAGCGGCCTGCAAGTGTCATTGTAAATGAAGGAAAAAGTATGTAATGGTTTAAAAATAATAACTGAATACGCAACCAAAGGGATTCCTTGTATTGCTTTTGTATAATTGCTAGGGTGCTTTCAAACTCCGTTGTAAGTTTGCTTTGTAAATTGTAAATTGTAAATTCTGCAACAACAGTTTGGATAACTCGTGTCGAGATAAGCAGCCAAACTAAAAAAAGAACGGCGCGCAATTGTCATCCCAAATGAAAGAAAATAGTATGTCTTGGTTTAAAAGTTATAACTGACAACGCATCCAACGTCAAAACTGCGGATCCTTGGTTATAACCGAAGTTTGCATTTAACAGTTATTAGCCGAAGGCGAAGTCAATATTATTGAATAATTAGTAAAAAAATATTCATTTCGCCTTCGGTGATTTATTGTTTTAGTATAATCACTAAGGTGCTTTCGAATTCTGTTGTAAATTCGTTTTGTAAATTAACAATTGTAAATTCTGTTACAATAGTTTGGATTACTCGTATCGACCGGTGATAAGCACCTACTAAAGTATTTTCACTAGAATTCAACAGGTTCATTCTATTCATTAGCAAAAACATAACATCTTTCTTTCGAAAAAAATTATCAGCATTTTCTGTGCTCTTCAGTAGTAGTTATGACTTGGATCCTGAGCCATAACTTTGGATCCGTGATCACATCTTTGGATTTGCGGGTACAACTTTCTTCCTTTTAACTTTAACACCAACAATAATCCACTTTCTCCTTTCTTCAAGAATGGAACTGACAGGCCACCTAATTAAAACGATAAGTTTAACGATGGAGAGTTTTACCTCCGGCGCAGGTCTCCGAGCAAGCCGACCAGCCATACTTCGTGTCGGCCACCCATTTGACGTCGGCTCCTGTAATATCTGATTTATAGGGACTCAAGAATCTGCATTCAACTCCTTTGTTTTTTTGACCGTTGAATATAAACTTAAAAAAAAAAAGAATATTCATATTTAATTTTTCAAAGGTCATTTATATCATGATGATAAAAGCCAAACTTCCAGAAAAAGACTAACTTCTTACTAACCGAGAACGGTGGCCGCCTGGTATCACGAACCGAGCGCAGCGAGATCTGTACAAAAACGACTAGGGGCAAATGTTTCCCTGGCACGGTTCGGAGGAGCGAGATCAGTTAGAGATTTATTACCTTGGACCAAACCTGTTTATTTTAAATTTGCCAACTTTCACGTACAAAAATATGACCATTTCCGTGGAAACGGTCCTCATAGCAAATCCCGACTAAGCGAGAACCAATCAGAACTCTCGAATCTACCTCAGTACTACCTTGCCATAAAATAAACATTAGTATAATTCCTTACCATAAAACGTAGATGCACGTTTGTTGGGCCAGGGATGTATAGGTATTCTTTTCCACTACGTTTACCATACGTGATGCTGCTTCCAGCTGCATTGATCGTTTTAAATTGTCCGGGGCTTAACAGATACTTTTTTCCCATGTTCTGTACACCTGATGGTAAAAAAAAAACATTATTAAAACTGACTAATTGAGGTGAAGAAGAATAGTAGTGAATTACAATAACGTAGATATTTTGGAAGTATTTCCTGAAAAAAAGGGAAAAGAAAACATTTGATCAACTCTGGAGAGCATGACTCTCTGAAATCGTCCATCCTCTTTTAATGTCAGGTGAAAACCAAATTGTCCTGGCCTTCCTTTGATAAACTGGTGACCAAGGAAGGCATTGATGGTGATAAAAAAAAAAAAGTGAAACTGTTGACGCTATGATGCTGATCGTGCACTAGGAATGTGATGATGATGATGATGATCATGATGATATACTTTATTCATGTGTCGATGTATTTAGCTAACGCTAATTGGGGACACAACGTAAATGAATAACCTAATTTATGATAAGAAATAAGCTATACATTATATAACCTAAGAGGTACAAATACGCACGCGGGGAATTGTTACCATTTATCACTCCGGTAAGATCCTTACACCTAATATGAAACTTAAACCTAGAAAGGCTACTAATTTCAGTGATGTTTTTTTTCAGTTTGAGAACTGCAAAGAAATTTTCACCTGTATCAATGACACCAGTTCCTTCTTTTACTTTTTGTACCTGTCTGGATTTATTTAGAACTCCTTCTCTTAAAGGGCACGTTATTTATGAAGGCCAAAAGATTACACAAAAAAGTTCAAAAGTAAACAGATAAGTAAGAGAAGACTAACTAAACACCAATAAATGAACTAAATTAGAAAACAAATCAAAGTCATATGAAATGTCTTTGCTGTGTTAGCGAGCCCTGCTTGAAACTTAGTGAAACTGGTTTACTCTAAGAAAAAAATTCCCAAAAGGTAACAAAAATTTAGATCGGCAACGGGAAAGTTTACTGAACAATGTTTTGGCGAACAAAGCGGTTACACCTGGCCAGAAGACCATCTTGCCCAATTTGGTGGCCAACTTTCTCACCTATGTTGTTTCTATCAGCAGCCATCTCGAAAACCCAAATCCGTCTGGACTTTTTCGGGATCCAGCAAGCTACTGCTGCGTTTGCAGGTCCTGCATTTAGGAAAACAAAAAGTATGGTTAATTGCTAAAGTAATTATTAATCAATAGAACAATGAAAATAAACACTTGACCCTTTATTGCTTTAAGACGTTCAATGCTCTTATTTGGCTAGTATAGAAAATAGATGGCCAAGGCGTGCTTTAAGACAGTTCTTTTCTTGGCGATAATTCTCGCGAAAAAATCGTGATTTTTCCAAGTTATATAGATTCTAATTATCGGTTTAGTCATGGAGGCGCAATACTCCAAAATTACTTTAAAACATTTAGCACGACAAAATTTTTACCTTTTTGTTGCCAATCCACAGTGTAAATTTTTTTTACTGACTTACATGAAGTGCTATCTCCATTACATACTCCACAACGGTCAACTGTATTCACAGATCCGACCACGTCGTCACAACCAACAGGCTGTAAGAGAAAATTATTCTCAAATTCAAGGCCGGCATTATGTAGCTTTTTATACAAAGCATTTTCCATTTCTTATCAGTCTACGAAATGAAATCGCCAAAAGAAGCATGTTTGTGCGTGTGTTAGCTTTGGTCAAAACTTTTAAGTTATATCTGGTACCATGGACCATCCATATGATTGCAAGAGGAAGCTGTTCCGGGTCAGGACGAACCTACCGGTAAAGACTGCTCATTGTATTCCCACTGATTGACGACTTATCTCTGAGAGGCACAGGGATAAAACGCGAGGTAAGTGTGTTATATACATCTTATTAACCAAGCGCGAGGGCTGTACTGGGAGAATATCGGCCCGAGGTCTTGACAGCACGAACCGAGCGAAGCGAGCCATCAAAAAAGACCGAGGGCCGATATTCTTCCAGTACGGTCCCGAGCAAGCTTGGTTAATAAGAGATTTATTATACGACTGAAGTTCAAAGGGACACAAGTGCGGTATCATTCGGGACCATTC